TGCGCCAAATGTAATACTGGTTCTCTGTACCAATAATAATATTAAAAGGACCGTTTGTAATCCGATTGATAATGATAAAGATTATGGAACACACACACCACAAGTCACAACAGTTAGAACCATACTCTAGTCCACCACACCCTGTCACACACCCCAAAACATAATACATAATAATTACTAAGTTCAATAATAGTTATTACAGAAGTTTTAATTGGAACATAATGTCTCATTGGAATAACCATAAAAACCGTGGGCTATATAGTCTGTGCCTTAGTTTCCAAAAAGTTGCTCATTTTAGCAAATAACTCAAAAAATGTAGTGGTAGTCAGAATCTGTTCAAAATGCATAAGGACTTAATATATCAGAAAATGTAATAAAAGTTGGGAGTGATTTTGCAGCCATTTTTTGAAAAAAATCATGGGCTATTATATACTATATCCCACTGAGTTGAGTTTGGGACAAGAAAAACTGGAATAACTTTTTATAGGAATGTGGGATAAGGATGAAACTTTCACAGGTTCTTAGTCGCCAAAGTCCATCAAAATCTGTGAAATCTTGGTTCTCTCAGCTCTTGGGAACCCCGAAAACCGGGTTCTCCCTATAAACCCAATGGCATACCAAAATGACGTTTTATGACAATTTATCTACGTCATAGTTTACATAAGAACATGTGGTTGAGAGCGCAAACTGATAATTCTTGTTTTAAAAAGCTAACAGAGCAAGATCTTCTGATAATGATGGCCTTTATGAAGACTAGTTGACTCCAGCAGCTATTGTACTGCTTATCAGGAAGAGCAAGACTGTTTTAAGAGTGAAACAACACAGCCGCCATGCTTCTATGAATATCATTAAAATACGTCATTTTTGTGACGTAGCTACATTTTTCAAATTCCACGCAGCTGCTTCCACTTCCGTCCCAAACTGAACTGGGATATAGTATAGCCTTGGGTATTTTTCAAAATTTTGGTGTTTTCTTAAAATGGCTGTAACTAAAAAAAGTTAAGTCAGAATCAGCTCAAACTTTCTACACAGCATAAGGACATCAATATATATCAGGAAATGAAATAAAAATTTGGGATGATTTCAAAGCCATTTTTTGGAAAAAAGCATGGGCTATAGCCTTGGATATTTTTCAGAATTTTGGAGTTTTCTTGAAATGGCCATAACTCAAAAAATTGAAATCGGAATTGGCTCAAACTTTCTACACAGCATAAGGACATCAATATGTATCAGAAAATGTAACAAAAATTGGGAGCAATTTTAAGGCTATTTTTTGGAAAAAGCCATGGGCCTCGCATGGGTATTTTTCGGAATTTTGGCATTTTCTTAAAATGACCATAACTCAAAAATTGAAGTTGGAATCAACTCAAACTTTCTACATAGCATAAAGGCATCAATTTGTATAAAAAAATTTAATAAAAATTGAGGGTGATTTCGGAGCTATTTTTGAAAAATTATTGGCATGAAAATATGAAGATGACAACATAATTAAGCTTTAAAAATGGAGAATACTTACTCAGGATGGTCATTATACATTATTGGTATGTACTCATCAACTGGTAGTATATTATCAAAAGGTTTCCCAGCTATCAGTTTCTCAGCTCCTCTATTTGATATTATATAACCTAACGTCCAGTATGAGTACCGAGGTATTACAAGGTTCTTTGTTCCTGGAATAATAGTCTCAACATTTGGACTGAGCTTTTTACGACCAACATAACTAAAAAGTGACAAATAAACTATTGATTTAAACTGTTACTAACACAAGGTCCCAGTCAGGATCATGACTGTTCACTTCTTGTAATGTTCTTTTAAGATTTGATTAAAGTTAGGT